TATATATATATAAATCACATCATGCCGTTTTGTTTAAATTCTAAAGTGGCTTCCCACCAAACTTGGAATACAATTCCCTTTAGTGTGGTCCCGAGTTCTAACAATCCACCTTCTGCCCATTTCTCTGAGCACTTCCAGGCACTGGCCTTAATTCCCGAAAGACCAGATTTTGCCTAGATCTTTATTACACAGTTCCATCCACAAGGAATTCTTCCCTCGTTTCCCCTCCATCTAACCATTCAGATTAGTTACCATTTTGACAAGCCCCCTCTACCCCCTCCAACAACCATGCTGTCCCATTTTTCCTGCACATCACTTAGTGGTATCTAACCTTTTTGGTCATTGCTCACTATTTATTGATCACCTCCTCTAATAATGTATGTATCACAGGAGCAAAGACTTTGTCACCTACAGCAGATCCAGGGCATATTGTAGATATTACATATTTGAAAGAATAACAGGATTAAAATCTGCAAGGAAGGTAAATATTACTTTATTAGTCATTCTAATGTATGAGCAAAAAAACCACACAAACTGTTATTTTTTTTTTTAAAGACTTATCCATTTATGCACACAAGCCAGAGGTGTAGGGGGTGACAGATCTACTGAAATACACTGCTGAGGGGAGCAGCAGGCTGGTTAGGAGAGGTCTGCTGCATCGTGGATCTCCTGAAGTGGGATTGAACTCATGCTGAAGTGACTTTAGCTTCTTAGTGCTGTGCTTTAACCAGCTGCATCACCAGGGAGGACCCCACAAGCTATTAATTTTTAAAGAACCAGTCTCATTTTTCTCTTAACTCCAGTTACCTCTTAGCTCTATCTGCAGTTTCTGGTGGCCTCACTTGCTAAAGTCACTTGAGAAACATCACCATCTACTGGGCACTGACAGCTATGCACTGTAACTCTCCACCTTTCCTGTGCAACTACAAACCTGACAAGTTAGGTTTAGCAAGTAGGTCCAGACTTCTAGAAGGCCCAACAAGTTCAGCCACTCCAAAACTGCTGAGAAGGTTAGAGAATTCCCCTTGTCTTAAGGATTTGATTCTAAGAAGCCAACGTGAGTTTTGACTCAAGGTTAGAAATCAGTGCCAGAGTGGGAGAGAGCACAACTAAGATCAGTCTGGATCGATAAATAGGAACCAACAAAGCCAAACTGAGAATTTTGTCCACTGGGTTTTCTGTAAACAAGATGCTGAGATGAGTTTTTCTTCCTTGTCTTAAGGGCCATAAATTTATCTGAATGAAATTCTACTTCCTCCTTACTTTCCAGGCAATTTTTCTCCATTTGTATCTCAATTTCGTCCTAGGATTCTTTCCCATCACATTAATTGAAAATTAGTTTCTTAGGATCCAATACTCCACTCACTTTCTCCTTCCCTTTACATTTCACTTTGAAAAATTAAATCTGACATTGCAACTTTCTCTTAATTCTTGAATCTATTATCCTGTCCTCCAATGCTTAATATAATAAGCCAGCTTCTTGTACCCTTATAATTATAGCTAACAAGTGTCATTTGCTGTAGACTGTGTCCCCCTCAAAATATGTACATTGAAATCTATCCCCCCCAAGGTCATGGTATTTGGAAGGGGGGCATTTAGCAGTCCTCATAAATGGGATTATGCCTTACAAGAGCTCCAAGAAATTTCTTCCACCCCTTTTGCTGACTGAGGTTATAATGAAAAGATTCTGAGAAAAGGGACATTTGCCAGCACTTTGATCTTGGATTTCTGTGCATCTAGAACTGTGAGAAATAAAATGTGTTGTTCATAAACTGCTCTGGTCTCTGGTATTTTGTCATAGCAGCCAAATGAACTAAAACACTGCTCCATTTCAGTTCTCTGCTGGGTACATACTAAGCACCTCTTTTTCCTTAATTTCCTTTCTAATCTATACCCTGGGGCATAATCTCTCATTTCTTCCTTTTTCAACTATTTTCTTGACTATCAAGGGACATCTTTGCTGTCATCTTCTCATGAACTTTATCAGAAATTGTATGAAGCTCATCTTTGTACAAATGTGTGGTTTACAAGCATTTACAAATTACTCCCATGTCTAAGATTTACTTAAAACTCATTTCCCTTTTTCGACGCTAGTATATTTTGTAGAACACAGATTTCTTAATTAGTTACTAAGATAAAAACTGTGAACAAAAAACCTTTCATTTCCATCCTCTCATATTTGCGATGTTATTCCTTCCTTTAATCTAAGCATCTCCAGAATTATTCCTTTAGGGTCATTAGGGGAATGATTAATTAAGATAATAATTGCCTCCCTCAAGTAATATCTTACATACCTTAAATATATATTTCAAGAATCTAAAAAAAATCCACTTACATCCTGAATGCTTATTATATGAATGAAATAACCACTGACATGATTAGCCACATATAACTCAAATAGTCAATGATTTTCCACTGGCATGCAATTAAAACACACACACACACACACACACACACACACACACACACACAACTAAAGCAAAACAAATTCTTATTCTTTCACTGTCTCTAGTGTTTCTCTTGCTAGTAGTAGTGTGGCATAATTCAGGGACTTCATAAAACTGAGTGAAGAAATGTTTTTATTAATCACAGCATAAAATTAAATGACATCCTACTGGAACTAAACTGGATAAATAATGCTGTTATAAAATGTACCTTTCTCAATCCATTTCAAAAGAAAATTATTAAAAGGGTTATTCTAGGTCTGGTTTCAGTAAACTTTTCTTTTTCTTAGTATAGCGCAATCAACATATATTCTCAAACTGTGCTAAGAAACGGTGAGAAAGGCAAGTATAAAATCTCTACTATCAACTGGCAGAATGAGGACTCTTGCTAAACCTTAGGAACTATATTTCTCTTCTAGCTGTTACACCAGTGTAACTTTTTCATTAATAAGGCAACTAAATGCTTGCTGAGGGTAACACAATGGCCAGCAAGTTCCAATAACAGACAGTTGATTGATCAAGACTCAAATGAGTTTCCTCTTCCAATTTTGTTCTTTTGGAACACAAACAGGTATCTCTGTCTTTTGTATGTAGGGAGGCTAATGTTTTGAAATGCAGCTACTGTCATCTTCTAACTCACAAAAAGGGTTGTAAATTATTGTCAGAAATAAGTCTTTAAAATCTTCCAGTTTTTAAAATAATGTCTTAAGACCAACCTTTCCATTTTGGTCCACAACTTGATAAACATATTTGACCTATAGTGTAATGATTTCTTCTACCAATAACATAT